TACCAAGCCTTTACGGATAAATCTAGTACTGCAAATTAGAAATTTTAGATGTAGACAGTAAAGAAATCTCTCTACCCAAATTTGAAACTTGTGTATCTATGGAGATACTTTGATAATGATTTTTAAATAGAACTGGGTCTGTAAAATCTGTATAGTTAACCTTGAAAGTGATGGGTTACAGCTGTATCATTATGCAATGGTATAAAGTTATTTTGCAAAAGTTGGGATGATACAAAATATTTATAAAAAAATAAATGTTAAGGTAAGGTGACCTGTTTTGTTTTCAAAGCAGGTTAAAAAAAATCCTTTGATACTACTCTTTTCTCATCTGCAGTTTCATTTTTACTAAAAGCAAAATTATTTTGCTCAAGAGATATTACAGGGAAGATAGTTAATTGCTGCCCTTAGTTTGATTTGCTTCACTCTTATTGCAAACAAATAGATCTATTATATGGTTCAGCCTAACAAAATAGCACATAAAACCAGACAAAAAGCTTTTTCCCAGTTTGGTAACTTAACTAATTTCTTTGAGAATTTTTTACAGCTAATAATAATTGGAAATGGTCCAGAAATTCAGACATGTGGGAAATTGTTTTTGTAAACAGATGAAGCTGTGAATTGGTGCTGTACAGAGCCGTGGTTCTCAATCAAACTGTACTGTGTAGCAGATTTCTAGAGGACTTAAAACACTTTGCTGGGCTCCATCCCAGAGTTTCTGATTCAACTGGTCTAGAGTAGAACCTGAGAATTTTAATTTCTAAGACATTCCCAGGTGATATTGCTGCTGCCACTGATTCAGGGATCATGGTTTGAGAGCAACTGAAAACAAGCTTCAGTGTCTCTTTTCCATATCTTATCTGGATATGTTTCACATTTGTTTCCCAGGCTTATGTCAATCCCAAAGTGTGAAGCACAACGAAGATTCTCTGACTACATCCCCTTCTACTCTCTCTGTCCGAAGTTCAATGACCTTCACATTCTCCCCCTTCAAACATCCCCTTTCCCAAGGCTGGAGAGTAAATGCCTAATGCTCCAAGAGAGGTTTCCCAATTGTGCTCATCAGCACATGTGCCCCTCAATATGTTCATATACATCCTGTGATGAAGCCATTCTACGGTCAGAACATTTTGGGATACACTGGCTTAACTGGAAAGAAAATTACTTTCCAGCTCAGAACTTCTGAGTTTTTAATATGCAAATGTACGTGGTGAATTTCCCAAAGGGAGATGAAGTATGTGGCATTTCCCAAGTGGATTTGATCTTGGAATTCTTCTTCAACCCTCTCTCTCACCATGTGCTAGGGAATGTTTATTAACCATAGTTCGGGAAATTCTTAAGTAATTTTATAATTTATTTTACAAGGTTAGAAAAGTCTATATTACAACTCACGAGAAAAACTAACTTAGCATGCCAAAAACATTATGGGCAAATTTTAAATCAGTTTAGAAGAGTAACTAAATAAATGTACTCATTATTTTGACTGCACGTGACTTTTTTTTTAATTGTGATAAGATCAGATAACATTTAAGTGTACGTTACAATATTGTTAACTTTAGGCACAATGTTGTACAGCAGATCTCTAGAATTTATTCATCTTGCCTAACTGAAACCTTATACCTGTTGAACATCAACTCTCCATTTCTCCCACTCCCCAGCCCCTAGCACTCACCCTTCTACTTTCTGCTTCTGAGTTTGACTGTTTGGGATACTTCATATAAATGGAATCATGCTGTATTTGTCTTCTGTGATTGGCTTATTTCACTTAGCATAGTTCTCAAGTTTCATCCATGTTTTTGTACCACTTCCTTCTTTTTTACAACTGAATAATATTCCACTGTGTGTATATGCCACATTTTCTTTTTTCATGTGACCTTTTTGTGATCAAATAACCTACTGAGAGATATAAAGAAAGAACCCAAGGCTTTTAGCTTCTGCTGCTCATCAGGTTTTTCTGGACCTCATCCCCTAAGTCCTGTTCCTCTTGCCCAATTTCTTTTCCATTAGTTTTTCATTTTCTTCTGTATATTTCTCATGAGTATAAGTTCTTAGGAATTCCTTAAATGAGTTACATGTTTATTGCTTGTTTCTATCACTAGAAAACAGTTCCATGAGGGCAATATCTTATCTGTTTTATTCACGTTTATATTTTCAGTGCTAGAACAGTGCCTGGCACATCATATGTAGTCAGGAAATATTTTTTGATGTAAAGAATAAGTAAATCAATACAATCATTATCTCAGTTTTAATTATGAAATATTTGTTATGGTAATAATAGACATAGGAAGAAGAAAGGGTGCTCTTCAGCAGCTTTAGATGAAGTAATTAGGACAATCTTTCGATTTCTAATGGAGTAATTCCAATCTAATAATTTATAAGGGGAATTATTGATGTGGAACTCAGGATGTGCTTTTGTAGACTCACTTTTATTATGATTTTTAATATTTACTAAGGGACCAAAAAAGGACAATTATTTTTTTAAATAAGACAAGTTTGTGAAAAATGCTTGGCATGTAAGTAGGCCTTATACAAATACCAATTTTTCTAACTCTCTAAAAGACCTCTAAAAATGATGCTATCTAACACTGATGTTATATTTTTGGTATGTTACAAAATTCTCTGACTTGGACAAATTGAAAGAGCATCATTAACAGTATTTTTTTTTTAAAGTACACTTGTTCTAAAGGAAAGGTTGTGTTCTATATTTGCATTCGCATAGGAACGATAAGCAAGTGTAAAATATGTGCAGAGCATAAATGTTGCTAATTTATGGATCCTGGTAATTTTAGAGACATGGGAGAAGTCTGAAATGTATGATTTTTGTTGGATATTACAGTAGATACATTCAACTTTTCCCAACAAAATAAGAGAAAGAAGTCAGGAGGCATTGTTTTTAGAGGGAAAAGGATTCATCCAGGAATCCAAGAAGATAATTATCAGAAGTCCTTACGACATAATGTGATTTGAAATTGCATTAAAAACTTACAAAATCTATTTCTGAGTATTGAAATGGAAAAATATTTATATCTCACTTTAGCAGATTTTTATGTGGTTTAAAATTTTTTCTTGTTTAGGTTGTCACATCCGGTCCCCATTCTTGTCTTTTCTATCCTCTCCTTATCTCCCTCTAGGGGTTTGTTTTTACTTTCTGCTTTTATCCTTATTAGTGGGGGAAAAAAAAAAATGGGTCAGTATTACTTTAGTTTGTCTTCACTTTCACTCTGCTGTTCATTCCTGAACCAGCTTTTAGCCTCTGGGAAAGAACAAAGTAAAAATATTTACAGAAACTGGGCCAACCTCTTGACGCCCCGTCTCCCCAAGAAAACAAAACCTAACCAAGGGCAACAGTAGTTCCTCTCTGTTCTCCTATAGCACCTTTTATTTCCTTTCTCATAAAGTTCAGAATTTTCTTATAACTGCTTACTGAATATCTTTCATCCTAGCTAGACTCAGTCCTTTGAGGACCTGGTGTATTGCCAAGAACACAATATAAAGAAATTAAATGAATAAATGCCGCGTGCGTGAATGACTGCTGCGCAGCTACCCCCTCCACCCATAATAAAGGAGAAAAGTTGCGAACAACATGCTCAGGTGCGGGCCCTTTGACATCAACTCTCTAGAAAACCAGTAGAGAACTGCGGCACTGGTGTCTTAATTACATAATTACTTGGATAATTTAAGCAAGAGTTTTGTTTTGTTGGGGGGTGGGAGAGAGATGAAGGGGCTGAATTACCCAGGTAATTTCTTTCCCAGTCGCTGTGGAGCGGCCCTACCAAACCGTCTCCACCTGCTCACCTTCCTACCCTCAGAGAGAAGGAGGCCCCCACCTCGGGGCGGGGGATTTCCCGGGGATACCCCGCCCCTCCCTCTAGGCCCCGCCCCTGGACCGCCAGCTCCGCCCCGCTGCCGCCGCCAGCAGGGGTCGCGCTGCCCGCGGCGAGCTGCTCAGGCGGGGGTGGGGGAAGCTTCCGCGGCGGGTCGCTTTTCTCTGCTGCTGCTGGTTGGATCGTTTCAATAAAAGTCTTTTTTCTCGCTCGCTCGCTCGCTCGCTCGCTCGCTCTCCTCCGGGGAACAGGCGGAGGCGTCAATCCGCAGCCGCCGAGTGAGAAAGCGACGCACACGCAGCGAACGAAAGCGGCCGCCCGCCGTCTCCTGAGCTCTTCACGGTCCCGCAGCAGAGAAGAAGGAGCCGTCGTCCGAGCGGGCCGCCGCGGCCGGGCGTCGGCACCTCCCTGGCAGTCTCGCTCCCTCCCGGGCTCCTCCGAGGGGATTAGTGGGCTGCCCTCGCGGCTCGGCGGCCCGGGAGCCATGTTGTCCGGGGGGCTTGGCAACGCGTGAGGAACCCGCGGCCCCTCCCGACAGCTCCGGACCCTAGGCGAGAGCCGGAAGGCGGCAGCGGAGGCCTGCGCCTCGGAGGCGCCGTGGGTCTGCCAGCCGCTGGGACCCGGACCTGCATCCGGTCGCCGCGGGCGTCGGCGGAGCCGCTTACCCTCCGCGCCTCGCCTAGCGACGCGGCCCCCGCACTTGCTGGTGAGTTGGCGGCCGGCGGGGCTTTTCCCGCTGCCCGGCGGACCCCGAGCCGAGGGGGCGGGAGGGTGCTTGGGACGGAGGGTCGGGGCGGGCGGCTGTTGGGGGCGCAGGAGGCTCAGGCCCGGCCGGGAAGTTGAGAGAGGGAGGCGCGGCCAGGGGAGCTCCGAGTGCCTGTCGCCCCTCCGGTCCAGCGCGAACCCTGGGTCGCCGAGGCATTTCCGGGGGTGGGGTGGGGTGCGGTAGCTGACGGGCTCCTTCGCGGGGGGCGCCTGCAGTCGCCGCCGCCTCCGGTGCTTGCTGCCCATTTGGTCTCCGGGGGAGGCCGGTCTCCCCCGAGGCCCGCAAGGGAGGAGGCAGAAAGTCCCCCGAGACACAAAGATTCCCCTCGGCGGGGGTGGAGCCGCAGGCGCGGGCGGCTGAGGGGAAGGAAGGGCGCGAGTCCGCGGGAGGTGGGCGAGGAGGCGGTGGCGGCCGCGGCGCTTGCAGCTCCTTGGAGACGCCAGGGGTGTGAGCGGGTGGCGAGCGCCGAGGAGGAGGAGAAGCCCTCGCGTGGGGAGCCGGCCGAGACAAAGATCACCGCAGCCTCCTGCTGGCGGGTCACACCCCTGCGCGTGGGTCAAGGGCTGAGGCGGAGGGAGTGTGGGAAACCCAAAGAGCCGATGGGGGGCGGGGGGGAATGGGGAGCTGCCAAGTATTGTCGTCTCCGTTGCAGTTGCTTTTCTCAGCATTTTTGTGCCCGATGCTCTGGCTCCCCAACTCAGCTGGATAGCTCCAGATTCCCTGCCTCCTGTCACCCCCTCACTGCCACATTGACTCTCTCGTGGTTTTCCCCTCATTCTTTTCACTTTTCACCCACTCCTTTTCGGGTAAGCAGTATTTTGCCTTCAGCTTGGGGGAACGTCTGCTAATGACAGGATGCCTGAGCTTGTTCTGACCCTGAACTGCCTTGAACTCCTCTCTCTTCCTCCCACCCTTTCCTTTCTGGGATCTTATAATGTCACATGGCCACTAACAATTAGCTTTTCTTTAAAAATGGCAAAAGCATAGCTGAAATCCGTGGCGCCCCTCCTTTATATTGATTCGTCCACTAAAGACACGTCGTTGGTTATGCTTTATCACCTCTTAGCCAAATAAATTTTCTAGATAACAAAAGTGGCAAATTTTTTTCGAGTCTTGGCTCTTCCTAGGGTCAGCAAAGTGTGTTCCTGGCAGCCAGACCTTCTGTCACTTATCAGGAAATGCTTGACTTAAAGACACAATTCTTTCCTCAAACTTTGCTGATTCTTTCTTGAGTCTCTGTTGAGGGATTTCTTTTAAAAGGCGCTTGTGTAAGAAGGTCAAAGTAACAAATTTGAGTTACTGTATTTTAGACTTGTTAACCATTGGGCAGAAGAAAATGAATGGGATTTTAAGATCTTTTGATGCCTTGAGTCAACGAAAGCCTCCGTTGAAGCTAGAAATAAGGTTCGATGAAATTTTAAGAAAAAAATTCGCTAGCTGTAGTATCATTGGTTTTTTTGTTAATGAAGTCATATCAGTCTTTGTAATTCTAACATCTGCATACTTCCATAAACAACGGTTGTAACAAAAGAAAAAATGTGGCTGTATTTAAGGAATAGTCTTTTTATTGCGGAGAATTTTGGCATATAAAAGCGTTACTCTTTTATCTGGTGGACTGTCTCATAGGCCAGAAACACTAACAGTTTGAATGCTGGACTTCAAAGAAAATAGCTGTCTTTGAATTTAAGCTGTTTTAAAATATTTTTTACAGCGAAAATAGACATTGAATTATGAACGGAAAGAAATGAAAAGTAAAGCCTGTTTGATATAGCAAAGTTACTATTGATACCATTCTCTCAACAGTCATATCTTGCTGCCATTAAAATGTTGACGCTGGGGCGCCTGGGTGGCTCAGTCGTTGGGCGTCTGCCTTCGGCTCAGGTCATGATCCCAGGGTCCTGGGATCGAGCCCCATATCGGGCTCCCTGCTCCGCGGGAGGCCTGCTTCTCCCTCTCCAACTCCCCCTGCTTGTGTTCCTGCTCTCACTATGTCTCTCTCTGTCAAATAAATAAATAAAATCTTTTAAAAAAAAAAATAAATAAAAAATAAAATGTTGACGCTGTAAAAATTGTAAAAGGTGTTTCAGTCTAGGGACCAGTATCTGAATTGTGGGACTCCCTACCCCACTCTTACCACTTAACACTTTTCAGATATCTTTGTCAAATTAACAGGTCATATCATTAGTAATCAATGTTTTATGTAACAGTTATCAAAAGGCCAAAAGGAAGGTACAATGTTTTTTCTTTCTGCATATTTATTAGTATTTAATTAGATTATTGAAGTTTAATTCTTGGAAGTCTAAAAAGTTACTGAAGATTTATGGGTGGTGGGATTCATGGATGAATAAAAATACAGTTCTGTATTTTCCAAATTTTTACATTCATTTTCAATCAGAAAAAAAAGTGTATAAAGTATGAAGCCTTGTTAATAACCTAATTTTCCTATTGCTAGAAGAAACTAATATAAAATAGTTTATTTTCATCCTTGAACTAAGGCCCGATAAAGTCACAGTGTTAGTTATTTGAAATAGTGCAGCCTGCCAGATGTGCTCTGGTTACCTGAAGGGAGAAAGATACATAGTCAGGAAAGATGAAAGTGGAAGAATTGATTCCGTGTATGGTAGCGATCCAATATATGGTGGTAGCTTTGTATATCAGTAATCTTGTTCTAATAAGTCATTTGTTTTACAAAAAATAGAAAAATTAAATTTTATTTTCTGTAGTGCAGAATAGTTGTGTTGACTAAACAGATTTTAATGTATATAGTTTTCAGATATTGCTCCAGTTCTATGATTATGCTGGAAAGAGATTTCCACCAAATTATTTTATATAAAATAATTTACTCTGTTGAGGCTTTTGTTTTTCCCATTATTTTCAGCAATATTTTTCTTCTTTCTCTTTATTTGTGAAATAGTACTAAACAACTGCAACTATTGTGAGTAGTAGAAACTATAATGGCAACTGAGGAAGATATTCAGAAGTGAAGATGATTTCCTTTAATATTAGGAAAAATTATCTGTGAACACAAAATTTTTTCCCTGCTATTTTCTTTGTTATTGTCTAATAGTGCTGAATATTTATAAGGCATTACATTTTGAATCTTTATTACTGTTCTCTAATCTTTATAAAGATTGCAGCATCATGTCATGGCATTTTTTTTTTAATAGCTTTTATACTTCCACGGAGGATAATTACTTAGCGAATGTGTTGCTGTGTTGTAGAAAAAGGACGTTATGTTAAATTCAGCTTGTAAAAATACTCATTAGAGTATTTTATCCATTTTAAAAATTGCCTCCTTTTATATATGTGAAGGAAGACTAGTTTTAGGTTCTTTGAATTTTGAATGTGTAATTTTTGCTTAAACTTTTAAATGGGAAAGTTATTTAGAGTGCATTTTATAAACTGATATGGCATTTTGTGTTTTAAATGATGAAGATAAAATAGGCTTATGGCATTTAAAATTACGCTTTATATAGTACTTGTGAGGTTAAAAAATTGACTAAATAGGAAACTTGGTATAGTTGACTAGCATTCAACCTACAGTGTTGGCAATTTCTTTGAACTGGAGGGAGGACCTTTCTTTTTTATTTTTATGAGATATTTACAATATTAAGCCAAGAATTCTTACTGTCATTAGTGGATTCTTTGTCATTATTTTGCTCCCAGCCTTTTTAGTTGATAGCTACTTGCATATCTGCAAAATACTGACCTGGAAAGAGTAATTGCCAGGTGCCAGGAAAATGTATTGAATGTATGTGAGTGTGGCTTACCTTTCCTAGCCTGTTTCCTCTCTCTGTTGGCCAACTTGGAAAACCAGTAAATAGCTACCAATAAATCTAATGGGGGGGGGTGTCTCCTATAAATAACGTTCTGCAGTAACATGATAATACTGTACGTGAGGAGGTAGATTTACAAATCCGTGGCATATTGGGATGAATGAAAATTATCTTGCTCTCCAAAGTCTCCTTTTAAAATTATTTTTTGAGGGCGCCTGGGTGGCTCAGATGGTTAATTAAATGTCTGCCTTCGGCTCAGGTCATGATCCCAGGGTCCTGGGATCGAGCCCTACATCGGGCTCCCTGCTCCTTGGGAGCCTGCTTCTCCCTCTTCCTCTCTCTCTCTCTCTGTCTCTCATGAATAAATAAATAAAATCTTAAAAAAAATAATAAAAAATTATTTTTTGATATAAACGTGTGAAAGAAATTAAACTTATTTCTTTTGCTAGGTGTACCATGTCAGGTGTTACTTTGTTAAATCCTCATAGTAAGCCCATCATCTAAGTATTGTGTCTGTTTTTCAAATAAAGACACAGATGCCTTAGATTAATTATCTCTTAGGTTCTACCTCTATGGTGAAGCTGGGGTTCCAGTTTTGGTGTTCAAACCATTTTATTACAACACTGCCATGGGGATGTGATGTTAAAAGGTTCATGTTAAGTGCCTGCTGTAGCAAGAACTAAAAAGTGGTAAATTAAAAAGCTCATCAAAATTAGATTTAAATTCCATTGAATTAGTTTTACTGCACACAAAAAAATTGATCTATACAAAATGTGTAAGAGAGGACATATTTATAACTCAATGAATTAAAGGTACTAAAAAGATACTGAAATGTAGATTTATTTTTAATCATGGATTTATCAATCAGTTTGGGCACAATGTAAAATGAATATAGGTACTGAAAAGCAAAAATAATTATACTGTATATTTACTCTCATTATTACCTTCATGTTTACTTACTCATTTTGATTTTACATGTGTTAAAATTAGTTTGCATTACGCATATGCCATAAAAGAGAAGACAGTGCAGATGCATGTTGCATTGGTTGCTTCCCTATTCGGTGAGAATTTGCCTTAAGGTAGATAAATTTTCTATCTATATCTGTACACAGGTAAATACGTATTGGTTTTTGGTTTTGGTATTGTTTAAGGAAAGCATAAATTTTGATCCTGTGTTTTTATTGTAGCTGTATACCACCAAAAATGGAAATATCAAATCAGATAATACATTTTTGGCAATAACTTTTTACACTGAAAGCCACCCCTTATGATGAAAATATTGTAAATTAGTATTGTTGATATATATCCTATCTCTTATTCCACTTGAAGCATAGAAACTTACTTGACCTCAAGGTAGTCCGCTAAAGTGGAAAAACAAAGATTTGCTTTGTTTTGTTTTGTTGTCACAAAAGTTAATTTAAAAAAGGTTTTTGTCAGTGGGTTTTATTTATTTATTTATTATTATTTTTTAATGTAGGCTTTATATCCAACATGGGGCTGGAAATCACAACCCTGAGATCAAGAGTCACATATTCTGTACCAAATGAGCCACGCTTGTGTCCCTTGTCAACCTTTTAATAGCACATCCTTGTTTCTTTTTTAAATTTTTTAATTCTTTTTTTTTTTAAGATTTTATTTATTTGACAGAGGGAGACAGAGCGAGAGAGGGAACACAAGCAGGGGGAGTGGGAGAGGGAGAAGCAGGCTTCCCGCGGAGCAAGGAACCGGATGCGGGGCTCGATTCCAGGACCCTGGGATCATGACCTGAGCCGAAG